TAATCGACAAAGTGTGTCATAAATAGTAGGTATGGTCTTTGCCTTTTTATTGATTTAAATACAAAGATATTATTTTAGCGATTAATCTGTGCAATTTGAGTTACTTTGCATGTAGAAATCATAGAACTTGTATATCTTAAATATTTAATAATTGAGGCAAAATGGAAGGGGAAGAGGTACTAATAAGTGAATGTATTATATGTAAAATTACTGGTAGCACTGGTAGATTCTTTCTTTTTTGGGGGGGAGGGGGACAGGGTCTCGCCATGCCATGTGCCTCCCACTGAGGCTTCCCAGCTGGAACACCAGGCATTGCCACTAAATCAAGCTCTATTTTGGACAGAGCCTCACTGTGTTGTCTTGCCAGCCCCAAGTGTGAAATTCAGGTGCACATCACTGCACCAGCCTGTAGTGAGGATCAGGAGTCGGACCTGGGCCTCACGTGTGAGCCTCGCCTGGGGAGTCCAGCATCTTAGTGTGTGCCTTCATGGCATGATTCTAATCAATACAACCTTTCAGGCTGACTCCCTGGCCTAGTGGTTAGGGGAGGTGGATCCCACATGGCCAACTATGGTTCATTCAAAGCCCAGCCCCTGTAGTTGAAAAACATGCCGGGTGTGTGCGCGTGCGTGCACCAAATCGGGATGAGTGGAGAAATGAAGGAGAAAGGATTATAGTGTGGCCGTGCCCCATTAAAGGTGCTTTTCCCCCTCTCTGTCTCTCTCCCTGGTGAGCACATGTATCTTGTGGCAAAAAAGAACAAAAACACAAACAACTTTGTAATGACGGTTTCGTAGTGTTCACAAATGAACATTTACTCGTTAGCTATACAATCGGTGTAGTCAGTGTGACTTCTTAAACTTTAAAGGTAAACTGTCAAAGATGTAAAACATTGTAGTCTTTAAATAGCTCTGTTCTTTGAATAACTGCACAGAATCAGCTTTGCAGAACTTATAGTTTTGTTTGAAAAAACAGTCACAAGAAGTCCCTTTTGAGGCAAATGTTGAAATTCTTGACTGAGATTAGAAATGTTTTAGGATAGACTCCGTTCTGTGGGCCTCCAGCTTTACCTCCAGAGTAAAAGCCAATTACATTACAAGCATCAACTCTCAACAAAACGCCTTCGGACTCTGGTGAACAAAGTGAAGTAAAGCCACGTATTTTCCTGTCTGAAGACGGTCGCAGGATCCATAGAAAGAAGACAGGGAACAAGTTTTCAAAGAAAGGAGCTTTGGCCCGCGGTAGCTCGATGACTCATCGTGTCACAGGGCATAATTTCACAGCGACCATTGAGATTTTTGTTATTTTCCTTCTGGGAGAAAGAATAGATGGGTTTATTTTAAGTACTGGGCAAAGGGATCGTTAGTGGGAATTCTGCATGAAACTACCCGAGATGTGAGCTGGGCAGGAATCATTCATATTCTTAAGATAAGTTTGAAATACAAGTATAATTACCCTTGAAGTGCTACTTTGAGCTTTTTTTTAAATTCTTTTCTTTCTCTCTCTCCATTTTTTTTTTTTTTTAACTTTGAGGGTGAAGGAAGCACTTAAAATAATGACTGGGGAAAGTGGTATTTATAGACCAGAGTTGTCCGGCAGTCCCTCTTTTTATTTTCAAGTAAACAGATGACTGTATGTAAAAATCATCCTTCTATATATGTTAGGTGTTTAAAATCTGACTTTTGTGTTTGGAACGCACCTAATATCACCTACAAAGGTCAGTGCTGTTGCCCTTCTCCTCCTTTGCTGGAGAGTCCAGGGAAAACTAGGCTCTGACTTTCTGTTCAGAAACTCAGCTCAGGCTAAGGGGTGCAGAAAGACAGGTCTGTACCATGCAGTCTGCTTGAGATCACCCGGATCCCCACTGGCAGCTCTCGGAGCATTTCTGGGTTTTTAAGCCTCCTTATAGCTCTGACCTGTTGCTGTGAATGAAAGCACTATGTGAAAAGAAGTGCCTCATTTCCCAGGGGCTGCTGTGCAGAGGCGGCGGCCACTAGGTCTCTTCTATGACCATAGCGCTGCTTGGATGTGCTTGCCCGAGAAACATGATTTGCAGCTGGTGGGGGCACTGCTTTATTGCCCATTGTGGAATGCATGCCAAATAAAAACCATCACGATTTGAAATAGGCCATCTTACATGCTTTTCAGGTTACTCAGATGTTCAAACACGCATAACCAACCATCGATATGAGAAATTCTCCACTGAGCTGTTAGCGCATTACAGTCTGTGACTTTTCAACTCAGAGAATGGTACTCATTTCTCTCTCTGACCCATTCAGAACAACTTCTCCTTTATTGCGTTTAGAATGGTGTAACTGAAAGGCAACGAGGAAAGGCAGTATCATAGAGTGGTTCACATTACGCTGAATTTTATTGTAGTCTGACGCTGCGAGTGAACCTTTGGAATCCTTGAAAGCAGCAGAAAGACAAAGCTGGCTTCTAATGGACTGGAGAAAAATATTCTGACATAGTGATAAGTGGGGTGACTTCTAGAAATCGTGACTTGAAAACATTTTCTGAACAAGTGCTATTTCTGTTGTTTCAAATCCTATAACGACATTAAAGCAGCCTGCCATTGGCCAGAACCACTGAATTTCCTTTCCTAAGGGCAGGGCTTCTTCATTTTTCAAGATACAGAGTCATCCACAACATCTCCAAATTTCAACGAAAAAAAGCTTCATCCTTTGTTTTTCTCCAATTATTCTCCCAAACTATAGCATCAAAGCTATTACAAGTAGTTGCTATGACAATATTCATGTTAAAATATGTTTATTCTGCAATTGTAAAAGGGACACAGAAATGGCTTTTATAGTAATGAAAGTTATCATTTTTCATAAAAAGAAATAAATCACATATTGTCTTCATCATTCTGTGCTCCTGAAATACATGGAGTTGTAGATTCTTTAGGTTTGAGTTATTTTGGAGTACTAGACTAGATGTATTTTTCAACTAATATGAGAATTTAGGGAGGAATAATAAAGAGTCTACCCATACAGCACCCTTTCCCAGAATATTCTGGTTTGAATTAGAAATAAACACTCATTTAATAGGACTGAGAAGCTAGACTGAGAGTCACAAATTTTTACAGGATGTCAGGAAAAGAATCTCCCCTTTTATTAATACAAACACAAGCTATTTTTCCTCTTTCCTCTCTTCTACTGCCATGTCCCTGTTCTACACTTCCCCCCAACTAACCTCTTCTGTTGTTGTGCCTGGCACATAGTAGGTGCAGAGTAAATATTTGCCTGTGCAAATGAATGAATGAAGGATGTTCAGGGTACAAGAGCGTCTTGGTTCACTTGAGTCCGCTAGCTGTTAGCAGTGCTCGGTGTGAAAACTGGATGTGTTGTTGACAACTTTCTTTGCTCTTTGTGTGCATAAGCTAAGAATAAATAGCACTGAAGGGAAGGGAGTGCTTCATTCATCGGGGGATTACACCATCATAAACTCACCAGAGTGTACCACACAGAGCCAGCGATCACAGAAGACAGGCAACCCAGGCCCTGTCATTAAATATAGAAGCCTGTCTTGACTGTTTTTATCCAAACAGACTCTCTGTATTTTGGAAATTTCCACCACACTTCCTTTCGAGTTGCTTCTTTACTCAAGATACCAAGACTAGAGCTTTGCAAAAGTAGACTGGGTCAGGGAAGCTGGTGAAATGATGGCTGCGCCTTCTCTCCTTCCCCTGAGGAATTGGTGGTATTAATGCTTCTCCATGACTTTTATGTCTCTGACAAATTTCTCCTGACCCATCTTCCTTTTTTCTGGTTGAGATTTTTGGGGTCTCTCTTCTGTGAAAAGTGGTCTCTCCTAAGTGAAAGTGCCTAATAAAAGAGTGTGTGCAGTTTGCAGTCAAGAGAGCAAGACTAGAAACTCTGAAATTCAGCTACAAGAACTGAGGTGAATGACTAAAGGATTCCTCTTTCTCTAGACTGAATATGTTGATCACATCTCTATCTTTAATTGAATACTTCTATATGGAAACTCGGGTAGAATAGGTAATGTTAGTTGTAGTTTACCAAAAATGTTCCACACTCAAAGGCTCAATAGTTTCATGGTGTGTACGTATGTCTGTCTATGCGTATATGAGTGAGTGTCAGGTGCCATCTTTGTTTTGGATTTTGTTTTGTTTTAAAATATGCAACATTTAATCCTTCTTACAGTTCTTAAAATAGTTTGCATAGTTTTTAAATACTCTAATATTTTAGTTAGAATTTTAAACTGTTTTAAAACAAAAGTGTTTAGCTAGTAAAAAAAAATGTTCTATTAAATAGTTTTAATATTACTAAGTCTCAGCGTGGTGGTGTAGTAGTCAGTAACATACTGACTTACAGCACTGGAAGCCATATAGCTGGTCACGGGTTCAGATCCCTGCACTGGTTGACCTGAAATGTGTTGAGTGCATCTGCACGTGCCCAGGATCCTGAGTTGCTGAAAGTCAGTGGGGAAGGGGATCATGGTGTCATGAGATTCCATCAAGGGCGTCTTTCTCTCTGTCTTCATTCTCTCTTATGTACGTGCTCTCAATAAGAAATAAAATAAATAAACTTTAAAATTACAAAGAAAGCACTAAATAGGTTCTTAGTAAAATATGATAATAGGAGAGAATAATGGTGAGGCCACAGTAAAGGGAGGGAAGTGATTCTGCTGCTGAGGTGACCAGGAGTAGCCAGGTGGAGAGGAGTAAGATTGGAGAAGTTTAGGACATGGTTTAGTCTCAAAACTTTGATGGGTTTCAAGGGAAAATCCATTTGGTGATCTACTTAAATTTCAGTTGCAGTATGTATTCCTTGACTGAAGAAGTCTAAGTGCTGGTCTATTAAAACAGCTCCTTCCTTACCTGCGTACTGATCTTTTGGCAAGTTAAACTCTAGCAGAAAATGCAATCACAAAACTTCTAGGGATTTATATAGTAGGTTTTTATCCCTGCCATATTGATTATTATTTAGCATAAATTGTGCACAAACTTAAGATTTCTTTTTTCAATCTCACAACAGAATGGAATGGAAGAATGTGAAATGCTATTAGACACAGATCCAGCAGTAGAAAATCTTAACTGAGAACTGGAACCAGAAGAGAAAGTAGCCACTGTAAAGGGGACACAAGACTCTCAGTCACAGAATATAGTAGTATTTACAACAAGGACGCAAGATAAGAAAATGTAAAATTGCATTCTAAAATACATTTCTGAAGAGACAAGTGTATTTATTAAACATTTTAGAAATAATGTAATAAAATGGTTAACATTAAAGCATGCTGTTAGTTTCAGTGCTTAAATATTTATTTGGAAGATGCACATTTAGAACACATCTTGCTAACCAGGTGGCATCATGTTTAGAATTGAGACAGTCCCCATTCATTCTCTCAGGGGACCTTCTTTGTTTTGTACAGCCTCTCCAGGCTTAATTCTGAGAGTTTTGTTTGTTTGTTTTAATTTACTAAAGGACATGTGCACTTGCCAGAGTGGCCATGCCACTATCTCTTCTCCTCCATTTCTCCTCTTGGGACTTTGGGCACACACACCCAACATGTGTTTTGAATCACGGTGTCTGGGACTCGAACCATGCAGTTGGTCATGTGAGGGCCAACCACCCTGACCACCATGCCCCTAGCTGGCCCTTCCGGAGATTTTGACACAAACCAAAAAACATTCTGTGGCAGATTGCAGTATATGAAAACACTTTGCAAAAGCACAAGAATTTTATATCTGGGATCTCTGGGATTTCTTCTGGTCTTTATTTGATGCTAGTATGTTCTCTATTACACTAAGGACGTAAGCTGTGCAGACAAACCTATGCAGGTCTTATTAAAATTACAATAAGAAAATGGCATTTGAAGAAAATTTGGGGATCCTGTGGGTATGACCCAAAAAGTGTTTTTTTTTATACTCTATGAAAAATAATTTAGTATGTAAGTAGTATTTTGTAATAAAAGCTTAATTCGTTCTTCTCATGTACTGCCTCTGTAATAAGAGTGCCTTCTTGTCTCCTGTTTAAAAGATGAGAAGGGAACTTGAATGGAACTAAGGAGGCCCTTGGCTGCCCATAAATCTATAGTTTGACCATGAGGGCTGATCACTCTCTGCTCTCCTTATAAAATAAATAAACTTTAAAATTACAAAGAAAGCACTAAATAGGTTCTTAGTAAAATATGATAATAGGAGAGAATAATGGTGAGGCCACAGTAAAGGGAGGGAAGTGATTCTGCTGCTGAGGTGACCAGGAGTAGCCAGGTGGAGAGGAGTAAGATTGGAGAAGTTTAGGACATGGTTTAGTCTCAAAACTTTGATGGGTTTCAAGGGAAAATCCATTTGGTGATCTACTTAAATTTCAGTTGCAGTATGTATTCCTTGACTGAAGAAGTCTAAGTGCTGGTCTATTAAAACAGCTCCTTCCTTACCTGCGTACTGATCTTTTGGCAAGTTAAACTCTAGCAGAAAATGCAATCACAAAACTTCTAGGGATTTATATAGTAGGTTTTTATCCCTGCCATATTGATTATTATTTAGCATAAATTGTGCACAACCTTAAGATTTCTTTTTTCAATCTCACAACAGAATGGAATGGAAGAATGTGAAATGCTATTAGACACAGATCCAGCAGTAGAAAATCTTAACTGAGAACTGGAACCAGAAGAGAAAGTAGCCACTGTAAAGGGGACACAAGACTCTCAGTCACAGAATATAGTAGTATTTACAACAAGGACGCAAGATAAGAAAATGTGCATTCTAAAATACATTTCTGAAGAGACAAGTGTATTTATTAAACATTTTAGAAATAATGTAATAAAATGGTTAACATTAAAGCATGCTGTTAGTTTCAGTGCTTAAATATTTATTTGGAAGATGCACATTTAGAACACATCTTGCTAACCAGGTGGCATCATGTTTAGAATTGAGACAGTCCCCATTCATTCTCTCAGGGGACCTTCTTTGTTTTGTACAGCCTCTCCAGGCTTAATTCTGAGAGTTTTGTTTGTTTGTTTTAATTTACTAAAGGACATGTGCACTTGCCAGAGTGGCCATGCCACTATCTCTTCTCCTCCATTTCTCCTCTTGGGACTTTGGGCACACACACCCAACATGTGTTTTGAATCACGGTGTCTGGGACTCGAACCATGCAGTTGGTCATGTGAGGGCCAACCACCCTGACCACCATGCCCCTAGCTGGCCCTTCCGGAGATTTTGACACAAACCAAAAAACATTCTGTGGCAGATTGCAGTATATGAAAACACTTTGCAAAAGCACAAGAATTTTATATCTGGGATCTCTGGGATTTCTTCTGGTCTTTATTTGATGCTAGTATGTTCTCTATTACACTAAGGACGTAAGCTGTGCAGACAAACCTATGCAGGTCTTATTAAAATTACAATAAGAAAATGGCATTTGAAGAAAATTTGGGGATCCTGTGGGTATGACCCAAAAAGTGTTTTTTTTTATACTCTATGAAAAATAATTTAGTATGTAAGTAGTATTTTGTAATAAAAGCTTAATTCGTTCTTCTCATGTACTGCCTCTGTAATAAGAGTGCCTTCTTGTCTCCTGTTTAAAAGATGAGAAGGGAACTTGAATGGAACTAAGGAGGCCCTTGGCTGCCCATAAATCTATAGTTTGACCATGAGGGCTGATCACTCTCTGCTCTCCTTACCTGCCGTGCCTCACGTACACCCATTATTTGCATCTGGGAGGTCTACTTTCAATACCTGATTACTTGCATGTGAGCAGCCTGACCGGCATGCAGTCGGCAGAGGACTGAGAAGGAACCATGGGAGCAATGTAAATGTGGCTATTCTATTTCTCTTTCCTCAAGTCTGAGCACAGATCATCAGTTGCCACCAAATTATAAAGAGGCTTGATGGAAACTCTCACACGGGGAATTTATTTCAGACGAATGTCATCGTTATAACAAAACTCAACGGTATTGTAGCAAAAAATTTGTCTGATCTATGGAGAATATTATAAGGACCGTCTACCCATAATCCTAAAAATACTAGACCACTGCTTATTCAGTTCTGTAACTTTATCATTATAGTGGACCCTTCAGTGCCAAGTAACCAGTCCTACTAACTGCATGGAAATTGGTCATCACTTTACCTGTTTCCAACAGGCTGATGCTGTTGTTCCGAGTTATCTAGCTTGAGCTTAGAGACCAAAGCATGCAAGTTTCACAGTAAAAAAGTGCATCGGGGACCAGCAGTTGGCATAATGGCTATGTTGCTGGACTCCCTTTTAGTTGACCACGGTTCAAGTCCTGGACCCGGTGGCTTAAACTCACACCAGGTGCGTGTGTGTGTGTGGGGTGTGTGCCCAAGATCCTGTGAGGAGAATGGAGGAGAAGGGATTGCGGCAGGGCCATTCCCCCCCACCCCCCGGGAGGGTGATTTCTCACTTTCTGTCTCTCTATCTCTCTCTGTCTGTCTGGTGAGCGCATGCGCCCTACAGCAAAAACCTCTAAAAAAAAAAAACAAAAAAAAGTGCATCAGAAGGGCAGGTACATACTAAGTTACCCTCCCAGTTTGACCCTGTCCTTAGATTTTTATTGCCTGAACTGGCACCAAAGAAACTCCTTGAAAATAACACATTCCTTGTCCATTCAGTGGTTAATGATGCTTAAAAAAAAAAAAAAAAAAAAAAAAAAATCACAGTTTGTGACTGTGACCTAAATTATGCCAGAAGCTATAAAGCCATGGTTTCTTTAAATTCAAATATGACCCACATGCTTTAAAACCACTACACTGACCCTTTAGTACTGTTGCTGAGTGTGCATGTCCTCACATAAACACACACACACACACACACACACACACACACACACACCACTTGGCATTAAATGACTCGATAAAAGAAATGGTATTTTTCAGACTTCCATGGTAAAGAAAAGGCTCATGAAAGAGATGTAAGTGAGCTTTAAGCCAAACATTTGTTTGGCTTTGCTGCAGCAGGCTGCAGGAATGTAAACTTTTTTTTTTTTTTTTTTTTCAATGACTTCAGCACCTAATTTGAAAGCTAGGATTTTTAGGAGTGAGCAAGAGACTATATTTGGCCAAAAAATTCTGCTGGCTTTACTTAGCCAATCTGCACATTCAAAACAATACTTCTTTATCAAAAAAACAATAGTCTGTTTTATTCACAGCACATGTAGAAGTTGGAACATCGGCTGAATTCCACTTTCTTCTCTCACAGTGTGTCTGTAACTAGCTAATGAGCTGCAACAGAGCCTGGCCTTCATTTTCAGCAAATTAAGTTCATCCCTCATAGGAATTGTGGTCTGGCTGTGGCACGGCTCCTAGGTATGGGTGGGATTTGTTTCTTCTACCAGTTGTAGGTTAGCCACATGGGTACGTGCTGTCGCACCACACAACAAAATTTTCTCTATAATAACCAGTCTAAGTAGCCTTTTACCCCACAAAAGTAGATCCCATTTAATTTACTTTGTGTTTATAGCACTCCCTCTCAAACCGCATCATTGGCACAGACTGATATTTATACAACTTTTTATTTTAAACTATTTATTTAGAGTTGAGACTTCAGTAGCACTGCCTGTCAGATTCATTGAGCATGCTTAAATTCAGGATACTGAAAATGTAAATTGGGAAGAGCGATGTGTGTTCTTGGGATGCTTCTCTCCAGTGTGTGGACACCCACACAACGCTGTGAAGGAAAGGCAGGTTACACATGGGTAAAATTCGCAATACAAACTGCTGGGAGGAAATTGAACACCGAGGAGGGATTAAAACATCACTGCTTTGTCTATCGTGCCTCCACATTTCTGGAGCAGTGTCTTTGATCAAATCCGTTATGTAACATGCATCTAAAACATCTAACTCAGAAGCGGCAGTGTTGTTAGGGATCTCTTTTCATACACAATGAAATATTCTATTACTCAATTAATCTAATGGAAGTCTTTTGTCAAAATGGCACTTGCTGCCCAAAGAGAAATAAAGAACATTCTCAATTTTGTATCTGACCTCTGCTTTGGGACTTTACTCTGAGTTATACATTTTTTTAAAAAAAAATAGTTATTCATTTATTTTTACTTATTTATTTACTTATTTTAATTTGA